CTGCTGAACTGACCTGAAGGTGAACGAGTAACTGTGAAGTGATCTGTAGCCTGCTAACTATGACTTGAACAAAAGAGCCCTCAGTTTTTCATTGCCAGCTCCATAATCTCAGGGAGGGAGAGACTGGGCCAGGGGATACACCTAAAAATCAATTCAATGCATTAGGAGAATGTTCTTAACCAGCAGCAGAGCCTCCCAGTTTCAGCTTACAAACCTATGAGACCTTTAATAAAAATACATGACTAGGAAGTTCAGGCATATACAAAACACTCAAGAGGTCAGTTATGGTTTCAACAAGAATTCTGGCAAGGAAAAAATCAACTGGATGCTCTGTGTCATTATTGCCCTCAACTGGTTTAAATAGGTAGCAGTTAAGCAGGTCTGCTTCAGCCCAGGCCAGCTGCCACAGTGTGCAAAAACTTAATTTTGTAGTGACCTTAGGCAGACGATGATGTTGTGCTCTGGACATTGTGTTTTACAGGTCTGCAGCTGACCGTGACGGATACATGCTTTATCTTTGAAAATATCACAGTCTCTTTGAAATGGCTGCTCTCTCCCTATTCTGGCAATCTCTCCTGTATAATTAGCACTGGAGATGGACAAACTATTGATCCCTACTACCCTCTTACGTAAGATTAAGCTTTTACACACATCCTTAAAGTCAGTATATTTAGGTATCTGCAATTTTGGTTTTTAATGTCTCAAGCCTCCGAAAACAAGATGTTGCAAATAAAACTGTGACAAGGCCCAGAGACAAGATGGTTGGATTTTGCAGTAACTCATCTTGATTTATTTAAGAAACAGCAACAATATTTTGGTGTCAGGCTGCCAATCATCATCTTTCATCTGCTTAGTATAAGCAAACTCTGATTCCTTCTAATGGTCTTTAATATCCATCCTGTGCACATAGAATTACTGAAAAATCTGCTGTCCTTTAATGAAAAGAAGTTACAATTTCAGGCTGATTATTTCCTGTTCAAAGGCATTTTTCAATACTTGATATTATTTGCAGTGGTTTCATGGTGCTCGGTTATATTTGTTTGGGCTGTTCTGTAAATTCCATTACTATTTTTCAACGATAATCTTTTTCACTGTCGGACTTAAAAATCAAATTTGACTGTATTGTTCTAGAGCAGTGACTGAATTAGTCTAGAAGTTCATCTGTGTACTTACCCAGTCCAGGCTGAGTCTACTGTAAAATGAGCACAGAGCAGAATGGACAAAAAGCAAAATGACTTTTAAGCATTCTTTCAGTGTGAATAATTTAAGGTCATGAAGTAAAGAACAGGTAAAGAGCTGCTTAAAAATATAGAGAATCACTTTCAACTAGACTGTATCCATTTAAGTGAAATGTATGTGCTCGCAGCAAGTGGCAACGTCTGCTTTTAAGGCAAAGCTTTTTTTTTATTTTTACTTCACCTCCTTAATACCCGGCTAAATCCTGCTCTTCTAATTTACCCTCCTGTTGTGTCCTATCTGACCCATAGCTGGGAGTTCTCAAAGACAGGGGTTTTTCTCTTTGGTCTAGTCTTGTCAGGCTTAGGGATGTTAGCTGAGCCCAGCCTAAACTTGGCCTGCTTGCTAGTCAAGACAAGGCCTTTTTTACAAGACCCCAGTCAGACACAGTCCTGGTCTTTTGACTGGGGGTCTTAAGTGGTACCGTGATAAATAAATAAATAAATAGCTGGTAGCTGGATTATTTTATACATTTGTTTGCTTTCCATGGTTCATCTCCTCTTCCTTGAGTCCCTGTTCCTGTGTCTCTGAGCAGGGCTAGATGACATGGTAGAGGACAGTGTGTCTGTACCTCTGGGAAGTAAAATATCCCAAGCTACTTACTTGCTTTTTAATCTCTCTGCCTTATTTTAACCAATGTAAGCTGGTTTTGCTGAACTACTGCACCCACTGTTGTCATTAGGGGAGGTGCAGGTGTGTTAGCAAGGAGGAAAAATGTTGCCAGCAAGTCCAAACATAGATGAGGGCATACATAAGAAGAAAGAATAGACCAGAAGGCAGAAAGCTTATAAACTGCTGAGCACCCTGAGCTTCTACTCACTTGCCTCTGAGAAGGGAAAATCAGGAACAGAAAACTAGGGAGGGGAGAAAGTTAGTGTGACAACATAGTTGCCTGCTATGACAATTTAGCTGGGACAAAGATACAGCCCTTAACCCTAAAAGAAAATATCTAAGCAGACTAGGGATCGCATCAGGTACAGGAGATAATCTCCATCAGAGCAGTAATTTAGGAAGTATGGCCCTTCCTCTCAGATCACACTGCTACAAAATTTTCAGTGCAACCTTCCGCTTTGCATTGTAGCTTGTCCAGCAATGTAACGCATAAATATACATCTCCTGGAGAGTTCACTGTGTTCGTGGAGTGCACGACCAGCGAGTGGCATGTAACGGCACAGAAACGCGTGACTGTTCAGGACAAGATGGATCAGCTCAGCATTACGGGGTGCTATAGCCAGTACGGATCAGGGAACAGTTCTCACTGCTGGACACTATATGGGGAAACATTATGGATCCAAGTGGAACTTAATGGAGGTGAGAGCAATTAATCTGCCGATTCGGTGGTGGGTTCAATATGCCATTAGTGGAAACAGGCAGATTCTTCACAAGATGAATCTGGATTTCTTTTGTGAAAGGAGCTTCCCTCATTCCTTGTGTTGTAGTAGTTGAAACACTTCAGATGTGAACCAAATGTTTTTCCCTTCTAGACAAAGAGGGAGCCTAAAGGATAAATGTTGGTCTTAGTACCAGAGTCGGTAGGGAGAGTGGTGAGTCTGAGAGTCAACTCCTTTGCCACATGCTCCTTGTGTAACAAGTCACAAATATCTGCTGCTGCCTCAGTTACCCCTCTGTAAATCTAGAGTAGCAACATGTATCTTCCTGAAAAAGAAGCTGTTTGGAGGCATTATTTTATAAAACCTGCTGAGAACCCTAGCAAAAGGCACTAAATAAGTACCAAGGACAATGATTGTATACTAGAGCCAGGTGAATAATTTGTAAGAAATATCTTACAAGAGGAATCTATCACAGATGCACTGTAAATGTCTCAACATTTTGTTGTTATTCAGAATGATTTACTGGGTAATTCTGGTGGTTGATTTTACGCCTGCAGTTGTGGGGCAAGTTTTCACAAGTCCGGACTCATCAATACTCATGCTAATTTAATTGGACACGTAGGGCTCAGCTACATCAGGGCTGAACATTCTTGACTCTGATCCTGCAAGGGGTGAGTTTAGCTCTAAGCATTTACATCCCACTGAAATCAATGGGAAGACTCACAAGCTGAAAGTTAAGTGCTGCTTAAGCCCTTTGTTGAATCAGGACCAATGTGCTCAGCACCTGCCAGAATCAGGCGCAGCGTGGGATGTCCCTGGGAGATCAGACCCCATCAAGCCAAGCCGCTGGAGTACAGGCCCACAATTGACAAACTTGAACACAACTTCATGGTTGTGTTCAAGTTCTGTCGCTGGCATAGACGCTGCTGACAGTAAACTTATTTGCTGGAGTATTCATGGGAAGCAAACCAAAAGGGGCACAAACCCCACTGTACTGAATTCATTTTAAAATGAAATGAAATGGTTGCAGGCTATCCCTGTGCTAGTTGCCTGCCTTCTGAATGTGACAGACAGCACACGGGTTGGATGTTAATGTCTAGGGCAGCAGTGATAGTTTTGAATATTTCTTTTCCAGGCAGCGGCGTGACCTACACTGTCTTAGCAGATAACGTGACTCTCACTGAGTCCACTGCAAAGACAGGGATCATCCCTCACAACCTGACGCTTGACAGCACCTCTCAGCAGCTCCTTGGCTTGGGGATACACCTACTGGCAATTCTGGCATCCAGCAACACGACAATCTCAGAGGTCTCTGAGAGCCTCACTGTTCACTTAGCTGAACCGATATCTGGTCTTCAGGCTTCATTAGCCTCTCACACTATGGAAATGGGAAAAGACTTGGAGATCAATGTCTCTGTGACTCATGGTGTACCAGACAAGCTAAAGTTTGAAGTGGTTGGCTCCAGTGAAACGTATTCTCACCAAGAAGACTATCTTAAAGGAGAACCTGGAATATATACAGTTCCTATTCATTCAGAAGGTACGGCACACTTTTATTCTCATACATAACCACATACTTGTCTGCATGTCCTTTACTGTAGTTTAAGGAAAGCAAGCAAGCAAGCAAACCAACCCAAAACTCCAGTCTCCAAGACAGTATACAATGTACTACTCTGTCATAGGCTGTGCCCCTGGGAGACAAATAGCTGCTATAACTGCTCAGAGTTTATATAAATCTAAAAAGCCTATGTGAATACATACGTATGCATAGAAAATAAAAGTATCACAGTTTCATCACAGATACATATGCTACACGGCAGGTGTTTTCCTTCCCTTTAATTATCCATTTCACTCTCAGCTTACAGCTGGTATTTGGGTGGACAGTAGCTGATTTTGATGCACAGTAGTCCAAGTTTTATTGGACTGCTCTCTTCCCATCATAGGCTGCCTGGAAGGTAGAATTCAGAGGGAGATGCTCCAGAAAAGCAGGCTGCTTTCCAGAGTTGGCTGGGCATGATTAGTTTTTATTGGTTTCCTGTGTTAGTATTTTAGACAACTGGCAACACTGACAGGTTGTGTGGCAGAAGTCAAAGGGTTAAAAGTTGTGATGCAGACATTTCCTGAGGTTCTGATACCTTTGCTTGAACATTTATCTCATGCTAAGTTTAGCCTATTCATTTACCACAAAGGAAAAAGGACCTTTTAATTAAAAACCAAAAGTCCTGGAACAACACAGAATTGGAATTTGTTTCAAGCGTACAGGTCTAATGCACCAATATTCCTAATGCTCTGCCTACCTTTGCCCATCTGTCTTTCATAGGTACTTTTCTGGTCAAGGTGCTGGCCATGAATGCCTTCTCGAACATGAGCATGGATATTGGGAGCATCACAGTGTCAGCCAACAATTCTCTTAAAGAAGGTAATTGCACTTACCTGACAGAGCTGTTCTGATCATGTTCTGTGACCCTTTCCGATATGGCAGTTCACGGCACTGAGCATTTGATGGCTTGCAGACAGAGCTCTGATCATTGGTTGCCTCTAGAAACAGCGCTGGTAAACCTTTTGGAAGCTCTGAGTAAATGTTCTACAGTGGGAAGAAAACAAAATCTCTGTGTAATAATCACTCCTCTTACTCTGAATTTCAGTAGAGACAAAGAGAAACTGAACGGGCCTGGAGGACTGCTCATTTCTCACGCACTGTAATGGTCCCTTTAAGGTCGGGACAGAGCATGTTGGTTTGGCAATATAGGGAAGGCTGGATTATTCTGCCCCTTCAGTCTTTCTTTTCTATAGTTCTCTGTAGTGTTTGCTCTCTACAGTCCTGCATTACTGAAGCCTTGGCAGCTTTGCTGTTGTGTTCAAAGGTACAGGAGCAGGCCCCACATGGAAAGAGTTTGTGTCTTCAGGGGGTATCTGATCTGTACCTAATCCCAATACTGAAATCACTTAAAATTAAAGCAAGGCATACAGAATACTTTTCTAGGAAAAGGCCAATGGCTTCTTATCACTTCTTCCTACTGAAGGGAGTGACCCTGCATCTGAAGTGGTCCCAGCATGGCATCACACCACACCAGTTATACATTTTGCATGGACTGTCTGTGCTAGAAGGAATCAGCTAAATATGGGATCCTGAAAATGATTCTAGAGATCATATAATCTGTATCTCAGCAGTACCACACACTGCTGTCCATACACAACACTCATCTAGATAGCTCATGGACACACATCAGTGTAACAATGATAATGGCAAGGGTACAATGAATAAAAGGGCTGAAGCATTAATATTACTGAGCTCTCAAGTTGTTTCTGTACTCCAAAGTTTTGGATTTTGATTTCACTTCCTGTAATCTAATTCTATCACCTTAGTGTATTTACTCCTGCTTTATATCCCCATCCAGGGAGAATTGGGATCATCTTCAACTAAGTTAGTTGCTTGTCTTATTCCTACATTCCTGACTTACAGGCAGACTTTATATTTCTTATATATCAGAATATTCAGCCAGTGCTGTTAAGCAGCTTTATGGATGGTGTTAAAACATGTTGCTGTTTTCTTTATACTAAACAGATGCTGCTCAGGACAAAAACATATCCAAAGAAAATACCCGAAAGGCAAATGTAAGTATTATTCAAAGGTTTCACCTTGAAATGGGAATGCTAAGAAATATCTCTTGGTTGTTAATGTACTGCTTGGGGATGTTTTGCAAAAGTACTCACAACACATCATCGATGGATCTGATTCTGCCTCTTGCTAAAGCATCTTCAGCTCCTGTTGACTCTGGTGCTTAGCACCTCAGCTGACTGAGCTCCATAAACCTGAAGTATTGTTATCTAAAATGTTAGCTTCATCCCAGAATCCACGCTGTCTTTGAGATGAGCACATTTATACTCCTCAGATCTAATCTTCACAGTAAAAGCCTGTAAGTAAAAGCAAAGGATTAGAAAACTCATTCTTCACCATGACCAAGCTAGCTTAGGAAGCCAAATTTACCCAGATATTCTTACATTGTTTTAAAATTCACTAATTTAAAAAAAATCATTTCATTATGACAGCATCATCAAGTAGATAACAGTGCCTTTTTACAATGGTTCACTCCCTTCTTCTTTAGGACAACAAAAGAAATAAAATATCCATTAAGCCTAGTCGCCACGTGGATCCCTTCACCACGGTTATGCTCGGCTGGCCAGATGACAGCGAGAGTTTGAGCTTCACATGGTCCTGTGGTACGTGAAGTGCACTTCATGATGCTTTTCTGCCACTTGCTGCCAACCAGGTGGTAGGCTCATCATTATTCAAGCTGTATGGTGCCTGTCTTTCTGTAAAAGAATAGAGACTCCACCTAATTTTAAACAACAGCTACACACACTTTGTACTGTCAAAACATCACCCTTCCCGAGTCTAGCTGTAATAACTAGATGCTGCTGCATGGATTATAATCTAATCCAGGGTTGGCCAGTCGGCAGTATGGGTTCCACAAATGGCATGGACAGCCTCTGAGTGTGGAAGTGTAGGTCAGGGACAGGGAAGCGGAAAGCAGAGTAGCAGAACAGTCATGGAAAAGGGATCAGAGTGGCACTTGGGTAGGGCGCAGGGCTAATCTGTGATATGTCTGCCGAAAAAGTTGGCCCCCACAGATCTAATCTTTGCCTGAGGAGTGCCTGCCCCTGGAGTTCTAACTCTCAAAGCTCAACTATCTCAAACACAAGACTTTTCTGCTGCTTCAGGTCTCGAGTGCCCCAGGCAGGAGGAAGGCAGGGCATGGTGGCACTTTACATGTCTGAATGAGCCAGCAATAATGAATTAGCAGCTCCCAGCAAGTTTTCCAATGCATGTGCTGTATTGGAGGCTGCATGAAGCTTTTAGGTATCACTGAAGACTTGAAAACCGAACAGGGACTCAGGATACCTGGGTTCTGTTCCCAGCTCTTCCACTGGTCTTCTGGGTGACCGTGGGCAAGCTTCTTTTCCTTTCTGGAGATGATGATGCTCGTCTGCTGGGTAAGGCACTTGGAGGTGTGCAGACAGAGAGCACTGTGTACCACCTGCGTGTTGTTATTAAAGAGGGACTGTTTGTGCAGGGGCCTGCTGGCCTGGCTGGAATGACTGCATGGAGCAGCAAGTCATCCCCACCAACCACAGCCAGGTGAAGATCCCACCTGCCTGCTTGCCTCCCCCGAACTCAGCAGTGACCATGAAAGTTACAGTGAGCAACCACAGCAAGGAAGAGAGGCAGGATGAGCAATGCCTGTATGTGACGGCAAAGCAAGAGCTGCACCTGGACATCAGGTGGGCTGGCAAACTTCACTGCTTCTGGCATGGCACTTTCTCCACAACCGCAGCTCTGGAACATGACTGTTATTTTTATGAGTTAGAATATTTATGTAGGACCATATATGTGCATGGCTTTTCACAAACACAGGAGCATAGCACTGGCAAGGATACCCTGGGATGAGCCAAACCTCTGCTATTGTAGCAACCATGTCATTTTATACCTTTCATACGCTGATCAAACTCCACCTTGAAACTGCCCTGCTCCTACAGTTGTTAGAATCAAAGGGAGTTCAAGCTCTCTGGGCACCTAAATCCCTTTGACAGTTGGAAGTCCATGGGGATTAGATTCTTTAGCCAACTACGAAATGATGAGGATTTTGTTGTTCGTGATTTCATGGGTTTACAGCTGCATATCCCAGGAGTTTTGAGTATATTTACCCTTTGGGTCATGACAGCTCTTCACTTTTCTTCTAGGTGTGAGACAAACTGCAAGCCAGTAAATGCTAGTGAAGAAGTTGTTTTGAGTGTCACCAGCCAGAAGGGCCCAGAGGCCATGCGCTATAACTGGTATTTGGACAACACATTCCACGCAAAGGTGAGACTGAGCAGGTGGGGCAGGAAATCAATCTACACACAAACTGTCTGGCTTGACAGGGTACCCTTGGAGGTGTGAATGGGGCCTTCTCCCAAAGCACGACGGGACTTGCAGCAAGCGCAGACGGTCATGGTAATGGCATATGTAAAAGTCAGTGAAAAGTACAATTGGACATAGGTTTTTTTATGCAGGTTTCAATCTTCCTTGTCATGTCTGTTCAAGTGAACAAAATAATTCATCAACTTGTCATTCATTCTTTGTCAGTATAATGTGGCCAAGCCCCATATACTTTATCTGGATAAAAATTCCAGCGATGCCAATGGAAGTTTTTTTGAGTGAGTGTCAGGGTTAGGTCCAAAGTGTGCAAAACTGCTGAACTCTTCATGGAAACCACAGTATAAAGCACAGGAGCCAGTCTCTTCTGCCTTGCTATTTTTCCTGTTTGATTTTCTAGCCTGCTCCGCTCCCTGCAGCCTGCACTCTGAATGGTTTCCGGCAAAGCTCTTTGATGCTGCTTCTGAGCAATAGATCTGCATTGATATTGAACAGCTCCTTTCTGCAGACACATGGAGAAGCGTTCCAGATTAAAGTCATAGGTAGGGCTACGCGGGGTTTCAAGCCCTTTACTAAGATGCAATCTCTGCCATTCGGAAGCATTATATACAGAGGCAAGTTTAAGACTCACATGAGTGAAACAGGCCACTGTAGTGAAGATGCACTAGCTTTTGCAGCCAATGGCATCACATCCACATACAAGGGTATGTGGCCAGGATCATATCCAGCCAGCTTTTAACCCCTTATACTAGGTGTTCCTATTTAGGAACACTAGGTACCTATTTACACCTATGCTAATAAGGGGAAATTTAGGGTAGGGCTTAACTAATGTTTCCAAAACATTTGGCTCCTTAACTGCTTTGCCTCCACTCTGCCATCATTCTGAGTAGGGTAAAAAGTCTCCTCAGAGGACATATACAGTTAAATAACTTTATGCACCAAGCCTATTATTCACACACTACTGTTTAAATCCCTTAATTCAGTACACACAAGAAAGCACGAAGTGGAGGGGCATAGTAATATGAGGCAACTGATTTTGTGACCCTAAGTCAAGGTGATGGTAATTGCCTGACATTTGGAAATTCTCTGTTGATAAATATTTGACTGTGCAATACAGCTTTGCCTTACAGGGTAAATAAAAGTGCGTGTTTATGGCTCTTTCTATACCATGGCTGAGGCTGTAAAATGATTTCATTAACATTTCCAGGGCTCAAATAAAGGAGATCAGTATGAGAGCATACAGGATTAGTATGAGATGATCAGTTCTAATGGAAGATGATAATTTTTCTCCCTGAACTCCCCAGCACTGACTCAGCATGAATATGGTGAAGAAACTCACATTGTCAGCATGGTGGCAGCACCAGCAGTGCCAGCCTGTGCTATATCCCCTGAGGAGGGGTCCGTGCTCACCAGTTTCACCATATCCTGCAGCACTTCCTGCTCGAAGGACTCGTGCCTGCCTGCGCAACCCAGTCTGCTCACATATTGCTTCTATCTGAAATCAAGTAAGGCTTGGGGCTCATATGTTTAATTATTAGGTTCTCTAGGCATGCACTCAACACAGTCACCAGGAGCTTCCAGAGCAACTGCTACTGCTGCCAAAATGATTCTAATACCCTCACTTTGGGCAAGTGGCACCTTGTTCTGCAATTAGGGTCATTCACTTCAATGAAGAACTGGCCAAGCAAACTGCTGTCTTTGGTCAGCGGATCAGGCTCTAAGTCAGTGTTAGGAAAAATGTGTATAAACAGTGCATGTATTTATCATGGGATCAGAGTCTCTGAAACAGTTCTCTTTTGAAACTTTGAAGGATTTTCAGAATTACAGAACCACCTTAGATAAGGGATCTGAGTGCAATCTGCATCTCTGAAGGATGCAGAACTTCTTCACCCCGGGCCTGTTCAGGAGGGTGAATCTTGTAGGTAGAAGTTATGTGAATAAAATTAGCATAACTGGGGAGCTGGTAGGGAGGCACAAGACGAGCACCCAGCACGAAGAGAAGAAACTTCCCTTTCAGTCTGTGGCCCATTATTTTCAGAAATAGGAGCTGTCTGAGGGATAACCCTGGGTTTTCTCTTTCAGATTCTCTGTTGCACTGCGGCCCAGATCCTGAACTCTCATCCATTTATCTTCCGCTTGGAGAAGAGGAAAACAACTTCATTTTACATGTCACAGTTACTGTCAGCAATAGCTTTGGTGACACAGTTCATACTAATGCTACAGTCAAGGTACGTGGAAAAATTCCTTCCTCTCAAAGGGTATATCCACTCTGAGAACTGCACTAGCAGGCACCACAGTGAAGCACACCAGGACTGCTCCCCACATCGTGCCCCCAAATTGTATGTGAGCTACTTGCCTTAGTGCAGTGTTCAGCACCTGCTAGTAATTTCTCCTGAAAGAGTTAGGTAACGCACACAACGTGCACTTCCCTGCACTTCCCTGGGTGGAGTTCTCAGCCAATGTGAATATGAACAAGTCCCGCTCCAGCTCCTAACCCCATGTTTCTGAGAGCTTGGGTCTCCTCTCCCCACTTTATCCCTATTACTCTCCCATGATCCTGTGCCATGGTCATCTTCCTTAGCCAAGGGAAGGTGGACAGGAGACCTTGTGAGATCAGCAGTCTTTTCCATCACCCTTCTTCCAGGGTAGGATTTATGGAAACTAGACATATGCACCACTCCTTCATCAGTGTTACTCAGTGAAGTTAGTCTTCATTACTTTGATTTCCATAGCATTCCCTCAGCATGAAATCAGAGTGCTGCAGAGCTGAATTAGGCTCTAATTTGAAGGATACATACCTATCAGTATCTTTTAGTCAGCCCCGTTAGATGAGTCAAATTAGACTCATCTCAAGAAGAGACTGCAGCTTCTTTGTACATTGTGAGTTAGAATTTTTGATCAGAACATTCTTTTTTTCCAGATAAAAAAATATTTTTTTCATCAAATGTTTTTGCACATTTTCTTTTCCTTCCTCTGGTTGGAAAACCTAATTGAAAAATATTTTCAGTGAAAAATGGGGAAACAAAATTATCTCTATGTACCATGCCTAGTTATGGTACCCCTTGGTGGTGCTGGGAATCATGAAAGGTAGTGCCCAGTAAGAATGCAGTGGGCATGTCTGATTTCGTCCTCAGGTTAGACATGAAGAACTGGACAATGGGAACCAGACCCTGCATGCCATTGTATCTGAGAAAACAAACATCATCCTAAAAGATGGGAACAACAGCATGTCCCTGTTCCAGCTGTACAAATCAGTATCTTCAGTCCTCAATCAGGAGACCCAACAAGAGACCTATAATGCATCTCTGCGGACAGACACTCGGAAGGAGGTTAGCCAGACAGTTTGTTTTCTTACAATACACAATTTTCTCTCACAACTGCAGGTCAACTGCAGCTCTTGAGGAATGCCAGTCTACTCTAGCTCCCCGTCAAAGGGAGGTGGATATTCTTTGCAAGGTTTTGCTAGAGATTTCAGCTGCCAAGAAGCAACCATGTATTGCGTACCACTGGCCCAAGGGAGTTATTGGCTCTTTACTACTCCTGTCTATTCCAGAACAACGTGATTCCCTTTTGCTATCCCAGTTCCTCACTCTGAGAAAGGATCCTAGTGTTTACTTGCTCTGGGACTGAGGGTGGGCAGTCAACCTCTACTGAGGCCAGCAGCTATTAAAGATGCTGAAAAATAGTGAAATCTTTATCCTTCCCTAGGCAGATTCCCTGAGAAAGAAGGGGTTTTCTTCTATGATTCTCCAAATTCTCCCTCAAGAAAACTGAGGCAGTAATAGCCCTTGAAGTCTTGTAGTGTGGAAGGCATTTGGCAATCCCAGGCCTCTGGGTTTTTGTTTGGTCTCCAGTTGGAACCAGGAAAGATTTTTTCCCTTTCATGAATGCCATTGGCTTCTGGTGCAGAAGGGGGATTATCTTCCTCTGAGGCACTGGGAAGTTTGATGTTTCTAAGGCTGGAAAGTTTCAGATGGGTGCACTCATGCTTCTGCTCATACTAGAAAACCCAAAGACACCTGGCTAGAGGGTCTTGCTCTTCTACCTGCAGTCACCCCAATCTCTAAATCTGGATCAGGAAGGAATTCTTCCCCTAGATCAGATTGGTAAGGGCTGTGAGAGGTTTTGTCTTTTGAGCAGAGCTGATTTTTTGGATGCTTTTGTGTGATTTCAGAAACTGTCCACCTGCAGAGCTGAGATGAAAAGTAAAAAGCTCAATAGAAACCTGGAAAAAAACAGTTCAAGCCAAGTGAAAAGTTTCTTTTCAACAATTTAAAAAAAGGGGAAAAAACCTTTTGTCCTAAGAAATGTGTTGGAACTGATCCTCTCTTGGGGACAGTCTCAGCTGTGATGCCTCAACCTTTCTGACAAAAAGGGTCTTATCAGAAAATCCTCTCCCTGAGTTCTAGTTGTGACACTTTTAGATAGTTCTAGTTCTGACACTCTATTAATGTTTGCATGGGGAGATCTTTAGGCAAAGGTCTAGGGAAGTACAACTTATTGTTTGATTATGAGTCATTATTTTTCTAAATCAATCTTAGATAGATTTGCCTTCTGCAGAGGTGGTGTTTATATACTAAAGCCTGTACATCCCTCTTGATGCATAGGAATTCAGGCACGTAGCGCTCATTGCTGTTAATGGATGTTAAGTGTGTCAACCCCCTGTGTCCTGAGGAGACAAAATATTCCTCTGATTATACAGTCAATAACTGGGGAAAGAAGCAACTCGTGAGCAGAGCTGATGTCAGCTCAAATTGTGCTTCCCACGGAGCCTGGTTTCTACCTTGTGATTTATAACAAACGAGGATGTCAATATCCAGCAGTACTTACAGGATCTTAATTACCGTCTTTGTCCTGTTGTCTAATTATCTCCTTTCATCCCAAGCTGAGAGAGCTGATGCTGACGACTCTGTCTACTGTTAATGTAACATCAATGCAGACTGCTCTTAAGATGTCAGAGGTCCTAAAAGAGATCACACACAGGAGTGAGGAGCTCTCCTCCTCAGCACAGGTGAGCAGCACTGCATCTTGCATCACCTCCCAATAACTCCCCCTGCTTCCACCACCCCTGCGTCCCACAGGTTATTGACATAGTCCACAGAGGGTACCGATGCCTTGGATCAGCCTATTTTTTACTCAGATTTTGAGGCATTAACAGCAATTGCCCACAAGCCATAACACGAGACTGTGTTTTTTAGTGTGTAGAGTAAAGGACTGGGAAGCAGGAGTCTCAGTTCTCCTCTCATTTCCACCACTATATCACTGCAAGTGATAGGCAATTGTGGCTTGGCTCTGAGCCAGCTATAAAATAGGCACAATAATTCTTAGCTGTCTCTGCCATTTAGGATATATTATCTGTTCACACCTGTAAATTCCCTGAAATTGTGGAAGGAAAGGTGCAAAGCAGAGCTATTTTGAAGCTGCCTTTGGCTTCATGCTTATGGCTCTGTGACTTCACATGAGTGCTCCCACTGACCTAAATGCCCGCTGTCTGAGAGAGGAGTCTAGCTGCGGCACAACTTGGGCTTGGCTTTTTCATGCGCGCTAGTAGGTGTCCTTGAACGGTATTTCCCAACGTGACTCTGACCTTGCTAGATAGTCAGTAGATGGCACTGTTTCTTTCAGTGTCAGCGCTGGTGCTTTCCATATCAGGCTGCTAGAAGAAAGTGTAGCTACAGGGAAAGGACACAACAGCTCTGCTGCAGGCAGCTTCCCCAGGACACTGGCAATTAAATATGTGATCCCCTGATTCGTGCCAGATAACTGTGGGATGTTTCAGCACTGGGTGAATGGCCGCCTCCATATGACAAAAACATTGCTTTGTTTCATCAGGAGAAGCTCAAGACTGAGCTTAGTGGGGAATGGGCACAGGCTGGGCAGAGTAGGGAAATGTGCACAGCTTTTTGACAGGCTCCAACAGGGTAATTACTACTTGGCTTTCATGAACACAGAGTAATCGATGGCCACATTTATGCATTAAAGGAAATGGCAAATACACTTCCACCTTCAGCCTTTAGCCCTGTGCCTGGATCCAGGCAGTGTTTGTTAAGAAGCCAATGAGTTTCATAGAGAATAATGCTGGAACGTGTTTACATGTGCTTGACAATGCAGTTCCTAGCTCATTGCCTGGTAGGATTATTTAATCTGTCCACCTGGGTCCTGTTACCTTAATGTCTAAACTCCGTGTTGCTGGCCAAGGCCTCGGACCTGCACCACCAAGTCAGAGTTTTGTCAGCAAGGAAAGGGTGGCATCCTATTCCCAAGTAACTGCATAAGAAACCATGTTAGAGTGTTACTGTTTCTTCACTGTTTAGACTATACAGTCAGATCTGACATGTGCTAGGCATCTCCCATTGTCATTTGTGACCATGGAAATTTTGCTCTTATGGGCATTACTTATCATGTTTCAGGACTGAATTTATAAGGCCAGGTTGTAATACATTTCATCACACTGGAGGGTTGCCTAGATTGTAAGCTGTTCATAACAGGGAATGCACTTTTTTTCTGTGTTGGTACCATGCCTACCACTGTGGAGTCCAGGCACAAGACCAGGCTTAAGATGCTTCCATAATATGATTAGGAATGCTTTTGTCCACAAATAGTCCCACTAGACTATTCATGTCATGAGGTCTGGGCCAAACTAAACACAGCAACTGCCCATGCAGTTCTTTATTACCATGTTAACCTCTATCACCTTTTAAATACAGACACACAGAAATAAACACTATTTATTCCCTGTCCAGGTAGAAGCCAGCAACACGCTAAAAGATGTCAGTGAATCCCTGCTTAGGGTGAACATGGAGGACAGTGAGGATGACCAGAAGCGGAAGGAAGCAGCCAGCTACCTATTTAATGCAGTTAGCAATGTGCTGGAAGCGTCTGTCCATAACAGGACTGGGGCTACATCACCACCGGAGGCTGAAAAGGTGCTTCCTGCTTGGTTCAGCTTCTAATGAACTGTGTGTGAGCACCTGCTTGGGCTGGAGGTTGGCAGATAAAAGCTTTTCTTCCTGAGATGTGTTCTAAAGTGGCATAGGTGATGGCCCAGTGGGGCATGACTAATATAATGGGATTTTCACAGAATATCCAGGTAAGTCCCCTCTGGGAAACAATAACAGCCTCTTAAAGCTTGTGATGCTGGACACCGGACTGGACAGAGCTCTGGAGAACGTGGTGTAACACGTGGAAGGGACCGTGCTGTCTGCCCCAGGTAGACTTAGGTTACTAGGATTTCTCCCTCTGGAACTCCCTCCCTCTCTGATGGACCAGACCATAGCCTGAGGAATTGTATGGGTCAGCACCATTAAGGATTTGGCCCTACTGACCTCAAGCCCAAAATCATTTCCTGTGTTATTGTCCTCAGCCCTTCTTAAACAAGCTGCATGAAGCTTTCTGCTGTCCCCTCATATTTGTTGGTGAATTATTGCAAATGTTTCTGTATGCTTCTCATGCTCGTGCATTTTACTGCTGTAAGTGTGAGCAAGGGTTACTATTGATCTACTTTGAAAGGAACAATTATGAATGCTTTATATCTTGATCCTAGCCCCAGTTTTGACACTGGTAAGCTCTGTCATTTTGGGCAATTTCATCTATACTCTGTAGACTGAAGCTTTTCAGCTTGTAATAGTCAACACCCATGGGCAGGGTTGCCAACCCAAGACAATTTTCACTGACAATCTGAAAACGTTTTACTGACAATCAAACTATTTACTGGCATATGTTTTACATCATGTAAATGTAACCCTTCTGCCAGGCCCTGGACAAGAGGTGGGTTCATATTTAGAGGTTTAACACCAACCATTGTAGAAAAGTTTGGTTTTCACTAAAAGTTTGCAGATTATGAGCAAAAAAAAAAAATTCTTGGGTTGGCAAGCCAGCTTGACTGCAGCAATGTTTTCACACCATGCTGTCCCCACCTCAGGGTCCCCTACTCACTCTAGCACCCTGATGCCCCCAGTCACACACCACCCTGTGTTGCCCCCTCCTCTGTCTCAGTGTGGACAACCAAAGAAGAAATAATGTCTGTCTGCCTGCTGCACAGCAGTGTTACAGGCAGGTGACAGGATGCAGAAGCAGCACATGGCTCCGGGAAGTAGTTACAAAGCCCTGCAAGAATGCTCCCTGTTGTGCTGCGCTCCTGCTCAGACATCAGATGGTGCTGCTCGGTCTGTCTATCCATCTCACTGTTTCAGACTTTATGGACAGGCATTTTAGCCTGGTTTTTTTTACAGACTGTCTGTAAATTTACAGTTGGTAACACTGTTCATACAGTCAGAGAGAAATAAGGCTGGAAGGGACCTCCAGAGGTCATCTAATCAAACCTCCCGCTTGAGACAGGATCATCCCTATCCAAACCACCCCATAAAACCATGATCTAAACTCTACATAAGACTACCCTCAGCCCTTATGCAATATAACCCTAACACCCTAACCTGCCACAGGTAAAGCAGGGGAACCAGAGCAGCCAATGTCCTGCTTCTAGAAAATGTCAGTATATGCTCAAGAGGTCCTGGGTAGACAGGACCGTGCCCCCTGCTGCACAGGAAGGCAAAAACCCCCAGCCTGTACCCATCTGACCATCAGGTAAAATTCCTTCCTGGCCCCAAATATGGTAATTGGTTTGACCCTAAGTGGAGGGGCAAGACCATCTAGTCTGGATCTTCCAGCTTTGCCCCTAGCAGGAGAGTTGATACACCCCAGTTGAAGTCCCCAGCCTTAGCTGTAGCCAATGCCCAATGCCTCTGGGGAGACTTAAAAACACTGACACATATAGCAGAACTGGCTTGACATTTTATGTTTGGCTGCATTGTTCTTCCAGCAGATGTCCAGAAAATTGAAGTCTCCCATCAGTATCATCCCATAGCTTTTAGATAGATTTGTCACCTGCTTGAAGAGTGCCTGATTAAGTGGCCTATACTAAATCCCCACCATTATATTAATACCTTTCATCTTCATCCAAATGCATTCTGCTTTGCCTTCTTCCTCCTGAACCAGGGAACAAGTGTATGTGTTTTGACATACAGGGTAACACCATCACTTTTTCTCCCAACCCTGTCCTTCCAAAACAGAGTGTAACCCTTGATGTTCATATTCCAGTTGTAAGAGCTGTCCCACTGGGTCTCAGTGGTATCTGTCAGATCATAAAATGGGTGTCTTAAAGGGCAAACAATCAGGCCTTTAAAAACTGTTTAAGCATAGAGATGAAGCACAAAGAACTCCCACCAAAGCCAGGGAAATAAACGACTGCTCACATTTGATGGATTAAAGGCACCAAGTGCTAACATTATTGTAAGATTTCATTCATTTACTTTATTTATTGCCATCAGAAAAACCACAGATGTGGTCCACAGCAAAGCACTGTTGATGCACTTCATAATTGCTTTAACATTCATTGGATTACGTCTTGCTTTACCCTGTTCCCCATAACCACAGTATCTGAACACCTGAGGCTTCATTTCTTCCTTCTCACCTAATAGTTTCCCAATCTTTGGCAGACAATAAGGTTTGTTATTTACTGCGTATAATCATGATATTGCTTATTGCAGTTATCTTCTCTGAGGTTAACATGATTATGGCTGTCTGCTGGCTTCAAAAGAAGCACTGAAAATTTGAATGGAGAAAAAGACAGCTCATTAAGAGAATAAAATAAGATAAAAGAGAGGATGTGTTTCTCATTCTGTAATAACAACAAATGTGTTGCCAAAGGTTTCCTTCCCTCATCCTTTTTCAGAGTTTGGTGTCACACAAGCTGTTGAACACAGTTGAAAATCTGCAGAGCGCCTTCCTGTTTGGGAAGCTACCAGACGATGACCCTGTGGTTCTGGCTACTCCCTCTATGGCAATGTACATAAACAGGTAACCATCAGCACATTTCAGAGGTGTTTCTACACACTAGACATTGTTGATATTTTCCTGGATGAAGATTAGATAACATCCTCATTAAACTGAGTCATCCCCAAATACTACAGAGATGGCAGCATCTCCATACAAGCCGTGAAATGTAATCAGTTATCCATTGTAAGGAGATTTTTAATTCACCTAATTCAGAAGGCTATTGTGGAAGTCCTTGTATACAGTCTTTGGGCAGAGAATGATTTTTGGGATTATATAGATCAGGCAAACACCTGCTTAAATGTGATGGTAGGTGGAAAAAACTTGTTCTGTCAAGTTCATTTATTCTTTTTCCAGTGTTGCTGATGCTGCTGTAGGTACGGAGCTGTAAACAGGGTTGCACAGATGAAATGGGATAATGAGGAACTTGTAGAGAATTCTTCAGTCTCCAGAAAATCATCCAGTTGCAGTTGGTTGCCCAGTTCATGCAGTTGCAACAACTACTAATAGGAGTTGGGCATTTGTTCATACACATGGCTAAATAGATACATTTGCACATACAAATACCCTTCAAACATGCAAATTGAACATGAATATTTAAAAAATCCTTCCCTGTAATCGTTCTTCACTAGTGGTGTCTGGAATGCTATAGCAAGCAAAGGGGTGTAGGTAATCTATTAAGTATCTGCCAATGGTATTCACCAACGAACTTTTACTTCCAATTTTTTTTCCTTTGCAAATAAAATAAATTATTTCTTAGAAATTCTCCACTGTGCGATTCACATACTATTGTCTTTGTCTCTGTCTCTTCATATTGTCCTTGTGTATGTGTGACCCGAATTCTGGGATAGGTTACAGACAGACAGCATGGATGGTACATCCATTCGTGTCTCCAGTTACACCTCTGCCAGCTTTACTCTGCCATCTGCCTCTTCCCTAAGTGTCTCAGGAGATGATGATGACACTCTGGATTTAAGGGCAAGTGACCAACTTTTCCTCTAACTTGACTTGTTCTATCAATTTATTCTCTTGGTCTAATGACTCTAGACCCTTTTCTGTTTCCACACATGTCACACACTGAACATACACTGAGTGGCATATCAGGAATGACACCAAATTCTCTTGTAATTGTGTCAGATCATAGGAGCTTTATCCTTTGCTGTAATGTATATGCAAGCTGAAAGGCACTGGGGTGAGGATCGGTCACAGATTAGGGCTTGGGCATGGCCCATTTAAAGCTAAGGGGAAGTGTCAAATATGGATTTAAGTTTGAATTTCCCTGGAGTTTGGGGTTGTCTGAATCTAAGACTGGGAGCTGAGCTCATTGCTGATCTACTGGAAATGTAAATAGTTTATATATAATAAAACTTAGTACAGCCCAATACTTATTGTTGTTAATGCCTTGCTGTAGATGGTGAGCTTTGCAGTGAATCCCTTTGTATCAAGTGATACCAGCCTTGAAATCACTGGAGCTGTGGGAGGCCTAAGTCTTACAAGCTCGAATGGACTGGTCATACCAGTCAATGACCTTACTGAAAACATTGAGGTAATATCAGTCTTTAGTCTCTCTCTTTTTCTCTCTTAGTGTGAGCTAAAGTCTTCCTTGCTTACTGATGGTCACTTTATAAATGTCAGTTGTATTATCATCATCATTATTCTCTGTGAAATCTCTAATAAGCAAATTTGGTGGCCAAATGGTAACCTGTTCATTGCCAGCACACAACAAAACCTTGGTGCATATATGGACTAGGAAAGAATCTGATTTCCAAGGTAAATACAATGGACTTACCTTTCATGAGGACCATTACAACAGATATGACATTCTATTTGTTCGTTCAAGGGATTCCAGGCTTTTCTTTGTCCATCAAAATATAAATGAATAAGAAGTAAAAAAATTGTGTCGGTGAATCCTCAAAGTAATGGAAGATGATTTGAAACTGTGGTTACCCTGAAACAAAACATGGCGTTTTAAGTTCATTATCCCAAAGTTTTACAACCATATTATAATCTCAAGGCTAGTCCAAATGTGCACCAAGAGATAAATCATAATAGAGGAGATATGGACTATTCAGAACTTTGTTTAAACATCATGCAAATTACAGTGAAGCAGACATGCATTAGATGTCCCCTGGAATGGATTTTCTTGACTATGCTTTCCTCTCTGTATGTTCTGGAAGCAGAAATTATGTGCCCTGCACATATTGTACTAATGTGCAATAGGATCAAACCATGGTTATAATTTTTTCAGGATGCGTTTTTCTGTTTACATGTAGATAATGCTACCAAGGCTTCCAGCAATTCAGGAAGACAGGAGCCTTCTGAATCTGGGCAATTTTAGTGCTTTCCAAGTCAATATTACCTCTGAAAATACATCTCTAGTGGTCCACCTAGAACCTGAACAGGCTATTCCACTCGTTCTCTACTTAGGATATGGCTATTGTCCAAATGAGACTAACTATGATATGAAAACTCATCTGCCCCATACGAAAATGACTGGAGGTAAGATTATTTGTCAATGACCTTTAATCTGGGATGCTCAGATCAAGTCTATAGAGTACTGACCGCCTTTAACCCCTGTTTCTCAATGGAAGTTCACCATGGAAGTGTTCACCATGAACTCTTAATCGTTAGATTATATGAGGTTATCACCCACATTTTGTACTGGATTAGTGCACGTGCAAATTCTAGGGATGAGCCAAAGCCTTACAGTTTGGATGTGCCATTAGATATACACTATTTCAGGGTCTGAAAGAGTTTCAGTCCATGTCCTGGGTCAGGCCATCCCTGCAAAACCTGTGCAGCAATAGAAGCAATGAATGGGTGGTTTGAGAAAAGGATTGCTGAAAGTTAACACTAATAGGTATTTTGAAGCCTGTCCTATTATTATGTTTAGCTCCTATACCTGATTTTCTACAACGCAGCAGGTTATTTCTGAAACAAATACTTTGTATTGCATTGATTGTAACTAAACTATTTCTGTTCAAGATATGTCAAGTACCTGGGTTCTCAGCCCAGAAGAACTCACTTTTGGAGAAGGGACTTACTATTTTTTGGTGAAACAAGACATGGAAATGGATTCTGCAGCTGGTAGTGATTTAACTGTAGCAGTCACTTGCTTTGTATCCCAGTGCGTGTTCTGGGATGAGCTTCAGGGGAACTGGAATAGCTATGGGTGCCATGTGAGTAGAGAAAAGCACACATTGATTTTAATGATCTTTCCACAGTATGTTTCAAAGCCAATCTGGACAACAAGCAAATGTAGTAAAATGAGTACATAAGATTTACTGGTGTCCAAATAACATAGTGACATAAGACCACTTTGAGATGGAAACTCAGGCTTGTTCAGTAAAAAGGAGAAGCAAACAATTCTTATTTTTCTCAGGGTGGGGACGGGAGGGTGGGGTCAGATTACAGTTAGTGCCATAATCCCCACTTCCTCCCCACTTCCTCCACTTAGAATCATGACACTGTGCTGGAACTGAAAGGATTTGCTTGCGTATAACAGTCCCCCTGCACTAGCTTACAAGCCTCGCTGCTCCTGTAGCTTGCTGGGCAAGTAAGCAACACTTTGAAGCCAAACATCAAGATATGATCACCAAGACAGTTCTTTGCCTTTTAGGTAGGACCAAAAACAACCCCCATCAGTACCCAGTGCCTTTGCAACCACCTCACTTTCTTTGGGAGCTCCTTCTTTGTCACACCCAATGCCATTGATGTCAGCAAAACGGTAGAGCTGTTTGGCACTTTTGTGGACAACCCTGTGGTTGTGACGACTGTGGGCTGTATCTTTTTGGTCTATGTGCTAGTGCTTATATGGGCTCGAAGAAAAGACATCCAGGATAATGCCAAGGTAAGCCTTCTACTACTAGAGATTTGGTGCAATTGGATTTTTGTTTGGCCTCCTATGCCGTGGCCTCATTGTTACAGAGAGCAGTAGGTCCCTCATTGTCCCTACTGGGTAATTCAGATGGCATGTGTCATCATCAGTGTGTTTTCTGCAATATTAATGAGGAAGCAAGAGCATAATTTTCAGTTAATTGCCTTTAGCATATGGTGACAAAAATATAGCAGGTAAGACTGAATTTCAGGTGTGATTGAATTTAGTTTGTGACTCAGAGGGTCCTCATGCTCTGCCCATTTTCATGTCACTCTCTAGTCTGCTTCTAGACATAAGAAAAAAAAAGAATTTATTTCATTTGAAAAATGTTGCAAGAAATGTTGTATATGTTTAAATTGTTCACAGGAAGCTCACAGGGTTTTTTGATTGGGGGGGAGGGTTCAATGAAAAATTAAATGTTCTTCAGAAAGCTAGAAGATTTTTATGATAAATGTCATGTTGTTGAAAGCCCAGTTTTCCACTGAAAACATCTGGCTGAAAAGTCTGCCACTGGCCCTTCCTCCTGCCTGTTGGCTGTGTACTTCCTGTTGGGCACCTGCAGTGCCCATAAAAAGACACCCCCACATGGACTGGAAGGCAGCTCTGTTCCCAGCACTGCTACTGTTTTAGCAGCTGTGTCCATCCCCTCCCCATCCACCCCAGCATTGCATCTTTCTCCAGGTGAAGATCACGGTGCTGGAGGACAATGACCGTTTTGCTCAGTATCGTTATCTTGTGACAGTTTTTACCGGGCACCGTCGAGGGGCAGCCACAACTTCCAAGGTACTCTTGAAGTTAGAGCCACAATTGTGTCTTTTGTGTGTTTATCAGACCGCTGGCTTGTTCAGCTCTAGGTTAACAGACGGTGTCATTTGCAATCCTGATGTCTAAGGGAGGGGATAAGTGCCGTGACAAAGGGATAGAGAGGCAACACTGGGTCACAGGGGCACACTGGGTCTAATGTTAGCCAACCAGGGTATGAGAAGGACCCACATCATGGGAAGATCCATGAAGGAAAAGCCATTAGTACCTGTTACCTCTATCATCTAACTCATTTTGCAGCTAAGCAGTGCCAGAATGAGTTGGGCTCCTCTACAGACTGAAGTCTGTAATAACTGTTCTATCTGCTTGCTGGCTGTTGTTCAGCTACGTTTGGTCTGTGGGGATTTTGCCATGAGCCCCTTGGCCACTATGTACCAGCTTCTGAGCACCCCCGCTGTTGGCTTTTACTACTGTGGGCAGTTGCTATATACATCAGTGAGAACTGCCAGACTAGGATACTCGGATGTGGCCCTGTGCACACATAAAATACTGGTATCCAAGCCATGAATAGAAATTAATAGTTATATACCCATGTGAACTGCACCTCTTTCAGGTGACTCTCACCCTATATGGCCTGGAAGGAGAGAGTGAGCCCCATCACCTAATGGACCCAGACACATTGGTCTTCGAGCGTGGTGGAGTGGATGTTTTCCTGCTCTGTACTCTGTTCCCTCTTGGGGAACTGCAGCGTATCAGGCTGTGGCATGATAATTCAGGAAACAGCCCATCCTGGTAAGCATGGGACTGAATTACCTAGGTAATGATAATACATTATGCTGAGGGGCTCAGGGCAGGATGCTGACTGCGGCATTTGCATGGAGTAGCACTGTCCGTGTATCAAATTCCCTCCTGACTTCCCTCTCCACGTCCCTTATGTGTCTTCTGCAGGTATGTGAATCGCGTGCTGGTCCATGACCTGGCTCGGGATCAGAAATGGTATTTTCTCTGCAACTCTTGGTTGGCCATTGATGTTGGGGAATGTGTCCTGGACAAAGTATTCCCAGTAGCTACTGAACAGGACATGAAGCAATTCAGGTAACTTCTCTTGTCTGACACTCCAACTTCTGGATGGCAGGAGTCAGTTTGAGTAAGAAGGAATGCAAAAAGGCTCTTGTGCTCACACCACTGAAGTGAGTGGGGTCTTTCCAGGACTCCCATCCAGGACAAGAGGGAAGACAGCTTAGCTGATCTGATTCTTAAAATGTGCCGTTACTGCACAGAAATTGATGGATGGGAGAAAGATAGTTTGACAAACCCAGTTCAAACCCCTGCTCCCCTGCTTTAATACAGTTTCCTTGACAGATGGACAGACATAGCTTTTGATTTGTTTTGTCCTCACCCTGAGGCTACAGACCACTGGGAGCTCCATTTCAGCCACTGTAAAAGGCAGTGGCCCTGTGGATGCCTCATGGGTACCCCTGCTGTTCCCAGTGCCAACACAACTGTCTCACACCACCCCGATGAGGTCTGGTATTATCTCACTTTTCTACTCCTGTCTCACAACAGTGCCTACAGGCATGAGCCTGGGTGGGCTGCACTCTGCTCTGTCTCGTCCCTCTTCCCTCTCTAAGTGCTGCCTTGCCTCCCCTCTTGTTCTTCCCCAGTAACCTGTTCTTCATGAAGACCTCAAAGGGCTTCCGCGATGGACACATCTGGTACTCAATCTTCAGCCGTTCCCCACGGAGCTGCTTCACGCGAGCCCAGAGGGTATCATGCTGCTTCTCCCTGCTTCTCTGCACCATGCTGACAAGCATCATGTTCTGGGGGGTGCCCAAGGATCCAGCTGAGCAGAAGATGGACCTAGGTATCCACCCAAATCCTGGCTTGGTTTTTCTAGGGAGAGGGTGGAGGCAAGAAGCAGGTTTCCAGGGATTGAAGAGGGGAGGCCTTTCCATGGGGGAGAAGCTCAAGGTCTGAAGGCTCCTCCTTGCTTTAGGGTCAGTTTACCCTTTCTCTCTGCTTGACCCTGGCAGGCAAAATCGAGTTCACATGGCAGGAGGTGATGATTGGCTTTGAGAGCTCCCTCCTCATGTTCCCCATCAACCTGCTCATCGTGCAGATCTTCAGGAACACCCGGCCCCGGCCAGCCCAGCAGCAGAAGGAGAAGAAACCAGGGAAAAGTGGTCGAGTGTCTCCTAGCCTTCCCCCACCACCTCAAGCCATGCAGAGTATCTCACTCACTCCAGAGGCTGTGATAAAGGCAAGTCTCCCTGCTTGCTGGATGCAACAGGGGACAGTAGGATGACCTGCACTGCCCTCTGCTGGCATCAGTAGGAATTCTGGTTTCACTAAGCGTGGCAGTAAAGCAGTATTTTGTCCTGGGTTGAGGGATGCATCATACCTCCTTCAGTAATAAGCATTTTCCCCCTTCAAGGTAGAACTTTGCACTGCCCTCAGTAAGGTCTGCCCACGCATCTCCCCAGGCAGAATTTGGCCCTTATACATTTTTCTGAAAACACTGTGGTCAGCGGTCACCATCTAATATCAAGGACACGACCAAGTTAAAGGGTAGACAAGGTTCTTTGGGTAAATGTGATATCTTCTATTAGACCAACTAAATAGTTGGAAAAATTGTTCTTTGCAAGCTTTTTGGGTACAAACACCCTTCTTCAGCCAGAGGGAGAGTCCACCCTCTGCCTGAAGAAGGGTATTTGTACCCAAAAGCTTGCAAAGAATAATTTCTCCAACTATTTAGTTGGTCTAATAAATACCACATTTACCCAAAGAACCTTATCTACCTATATCCTTAAACCAACATGGCTACAACCAACACCCCCAAGTTAAAAGGTGACATTTATTCCCATAACTCCCCATCCCAGACAAACTGGATGTATTTTTACATCCTAACATTTTGTCCTGTTGGACTCAGTAAAATGAGCCTGTCAGACCAAGATAGTCCCATGATGGTATTTAACCCTGTAGGAGGGCCTTAATGCCCTATCCAAACTGGGGGGCAGACCCCACCAGAGGTGACACATGTGAGTAAAGCTTACCCAGGTTTCACACTACTTCAGCACAAGTACCAGTCACAAGGGTACTGTCATGCTCTTGCTATGTCTTTCAGGATATTAAGAGAATTGCCAATTCACTGTTCAAAACACTGAAGACTCCACTACCCTCTTCAGAAACAGTGCTGGGAAAATCTGCTGACATCAACCTGCTTTTGGCTTTGGTCGAGGATATCATCTGCCAGCAGAACCAAGCTGGGCGAGAGTTTTACGACGAGAGTAAGAAGAAGGATGATCCTATCATCATTACATTAGGCTCTGTGGATATCCAAGGTAAAACAGCAGATAGCGACAACCTTGCTGTGAGCAAAGCTAGTGGCAACTGCCACATAGGCTAAGCTATCTCCTATTTCATTTTGACTTAAAGGCAGTTCATAAAGTCAGTTTCCTTTGGTGAAAGGGGTCTTTCTGCTTTCTGTTCTTTGCAAAGAATCGACATCTATCAAGAAGCTCAAGTTCCATCATAGTGTTGGTCTTTGGGCTGACTGCCTCTCCTTCCTCTACCTGTGGGGTCATCCTTTCCCATTCTGCTCTTAACTTAGGGCTTGACTTGGCCTGAAGAGCTCACATTACTGAACATTATGCTGTGAGTGGTGCCAGACTGATGTCTGAGGTTACTAGGGGTTTTTTCAGTGGATTTGAGAAGTTACATGCTGTACGAGTAACTTTTGACCAATGATACTTGGTCTAAATCTTGGGGCTGTTGTCAGAAAATATCTCTTGCCAGGTATTACAGACTGCTTTTGTAACATTACTGGCATACCACTATCAAAACTAGATTATAAGTATTCATGTCCACCTTAGATATTCATGTTTTTATGGCTCGAGAGCTTATGAATCCTAGACCCTGGTTCATATTGAGCAGTATTATTGTACTCCATGATTGCCCTCACTCTTTTTCTTTCTTTTTTTCTGTTCCCTGGAGAAAAAACAAGAAGTCCCACCCCAGAGAAAGGGATGACGGACCGACTGAAACACAACGATTATAACCGCTACTTGTACATGCAGCTCCAGCATGTAGAGATGGAGCTGGAATTGCTGGAACCTTACAAATTTCAGAAGCCTCAGAGTTACACCCAGGCTGTAAGGCAGGTCCAGCACATGAAAAGCCTGCTAGAAAGTCAAATCTGCTCTTCAGGCTCCATCAGTGAGAGGTAACACAGTCACCAGTATAAGCAGATTTATGTCTCCAGTTTACATCTGGTTAGTAGTGACAAAAGGTCACTGTTCTCTGATGCTTTCTTGATAATGTCATAACTGCTCGTGGTGGTACACAAGGAAATGTCAGTAGAATGTAGGGTACCTACAGGAGAAGCAGTGATAAATCGTTGCTCTTGATCATTTGTTCATACATTTATGCTTTCAAAGCGAAATGGTACAATAGGGTAGCATGACAGTGAAACACACCAAGAACAAGTTCTGTGCTCCAAAGTGCTCAAGGGTCTTTAAACAAATGAATGCATGGAAAGCTATTAGAAAACAACAGAGACAGAAATAGATCAGAACCACCTGATAACTTAAGCAGGGAGTATTAGAAAATATAACAAGACTTTCTCTTTGGCTCTGAGCTCATTTGTACATGGGCACCCAAGAATACAAAGCCCAAGTGTTGGGATGAGCCAGCTATTCAGCCTTCCTATTAGAAATCCTGTCATTTATGAGCATAAGTAGTAATACAGCTATAAAATTAGCTTTTGCGTTTAGCTGGTCCATATCTCTATGCCAATGATGTGTTCTTACATATTTCACTATCCACATGCGAGTTGCTTTGTTCTATGACTTAAAGTAAACTTAATAGTTTTTTGTTGTTTTTTTTTAAATCTGACTTTCCTGTCAGGTGTCTCTTGCCCTTGCTAAATCCAGAACTAGCTGGTTTTGTGATCTGTTTTTTCTCTCACTGCAGAAGTGACATTCTGCCTGTTGGTTGACTCTCTAGGTGTTCCCCTACTCCAAGTTTCTCTGGAGATGGCAAGAAAGTTTCCTCTTCCAAAGGGCTGCCATGGTGGTTTGTTTTCATAGGCTGGTTCCTTATAGTTGCCACCAGTGGAGTGTCTGGTTTCTTCACCATGCTCTATGGGCTGCATTACGGCAAGGAGAACTCAATCAAGTGGCTGATCTCCATGGCCATCTCCTTCTTTGAGAGCCTTTTCATCACCCAACCCTTAAAAGTAAGGTCACTATAAACACTAACTAAGGAGTGGCTCATCCTGCAGTTCTTTCACATGTGTCACTGGCATTGCCACGGGTGGGAGTTTTGCATGCAGGGCTACAGAGCCAGGCTCTTGAATCACAAGATCCTTCCCTGAAGACAGGGTCTGAATTACAACTGAGTTCCAGTGCTGTACCTCTTTACTGTCAGGAGTCAAGTTCCCTTATTCCACCCTAGTCTGCTTTGTCTTATTTTGATAGCCCCTGAGCTAATGGAAGTTCTGGGTGGGGAAGGAAACAAGCCAAGGGGAAGGGCAAAGCAAGTAAGTTGGCAAGAGAAGCAGCTAGAGGAGGAGGTCAGGACTTCATGAAGAATGAGCAGGCCCTGAATGCCTAACTATTGTCTCCCCAGGTGCTAGGATTTGCTGCTTTCTTTGCCCTGGTTCTGAAGAAGATGGAACAGGAAGATGAGGAGAACACAACCATTGACGGATCACTGTCTGCTCCAGGTAACTGTGTCAGGTACCAAATGCAAGGGGAACTGATTAATGAATGTGGAGTCAACTGGGACTTTCAAGTGCTTTATTCAGGGGCAGAGGCCTGACCCACAGGCCAGGACAGTACCTGGGCAGGGTAGACTATATATCATCTTTAAGTCTATGCCTAAGGAGTCACTGAGTTGTCAGCCAGCTGGGAAGTAAGGGGGCAGAAACAGTTTTCCCTTTGTGCAGTGGGTACTGCACCAACAGTCTCAGGAAGGGTATTTGGCACGTTGGGTTTCAGTACTGGACTGGATGTCAGTCAGGCCTCCCTGTTTCTTTCTGAAGTACAGATCCTGCTGCCTGCATTCGCAACCCCACCCCTGCCATGGGCAGGCCTTTCCCCAGTGTCCTGGCATCTGTTTTTATCTTTCTTTTCATCTGAGCCGTTCTTTCCCTTCACACCACCACGAGTGTTTAATCATTCATGATCCTTGCTATTGGTAGCCTGTCTGAGCTAACACCCCCTGTCCTGTTCCAGTCCTAGCTAGTGGGTAAGTTTCTGTTATTTTCCACTTCTGGATGCACAGCCTCTCTGCTAGGCTCAGTTATCCCTGTATGATTGTGGGTATCGCTGTGTGGGGGTGTCCAGGATCCAGCCGCAAGGCGGATTCCCCAGCGGGTGTAATGGTTTCATTAGCTACAGTGGCACTGCGGTAATCGACACATGCCAAGAATCTGCCCCGTGTGTCTTTATTATTTACTACCAGGGAGGAGTGCAGCGTGTGCGTGCTGGGGCTGTGGAGGGAGGGCAGAGAGCACAGGTACTGAAGGCACGCGCTCAGTGGCAGTAATGTCCTGTGTGGCAATAGGTTGCTCCTGGTCCTGCTGGTAACGCTCACTTGCTAGACTGACAGGGTACCCTGACTCTCCCCATAGCAGGGGAAGCCCCACAAGCCCCCCTGGGGGTGACTTAGTTGATGGGGGCAGTTGTTGCTGAAATCTGTCTTTCCCCCCTCTCCTCCCACCTCTTTGTCCCTTCCTGTCATCTCTTCCTTTTCTGCCTATTTTTTCTTAATTCTTTTCCTCCTCCTCAGTTTTTTGGGGGGTTTTTTTGCTGACTTTTCTCCCTCCCCTGGATTGTAGCTTGATTCCTCCACCTCTCACTGGAAGGATTCATAGTGATGAGGGTTGTAGGTCTCAGGGTCTGGGGCACCATTTGGTGCCACTCATGGCAGGGCTGAGGGCTGTGGGAACTGGGAAGAAACAAATGGGCTGTCAGGCTGCAGCATCAGCCTGTAGTGCTGCATGCAGTTGCTCCCCTGCCCCTTGATATAATCTGTACCTCCCTCCCTCCCTGCCCCTGGTATGCCTGCTTCATTTCCCTCAGACAAGGGAAACACCAGCACAACCTGAAAAAGCTTTCTTGAACCCAGGGGGATCTCTCAGAAGTGAAAAGCAGGGCTGAGAGGAGCTGCTGATGCTCTGGTTTCCTTTGCTCTGGCACACAGGTGACTCAAATCCTCTGTTTGGAGCCCGAAGGGACAGCAGAAGCAACATCTACCATCCCCCTCCCATGACAGACATTGAGAAAATGAAGAGGAATCACATCAAGGAGCAGAAAGCCTTTGCCTTAATCAGAGAGATACTGGGTCTGCAATCTGCCTGCACAGGAGCTGCTGGCTTTTACTGACATAGCTCTTTCATGTATTTTTAAATCAGTGCTAATATCATCCCGCTGGATCCCTAGGCTAGGAGCGGGGAGGCGGAGCTTCATCTTTACTCAGGCATTATAATGTGTAGACAGGCCACAAACGGTGTGATCACAGAGCATGGAGCTGACAGGAAGAAGGGAGATGAGGGAGCTAGCTGGAGACACAGGAGTCGCCAAGCTGGGTTAGGAGCATGGGGAGAATGAGGCTTGCCTGAATTTTAAAGAAACAGACCACAATAATGTGTATGTGTAGGGGAGGGGAGGTGGGGGAAGTACAAATTTACTTGTGGGAAGAGGGTGGGATCAAAAGAGCAGCTGGGGCTTCTTCCTCAAATCATCCATAGCTAAAGCCCTTGGCTTAGTCTTGCTGCATCTGAAAGCACGGCAAGAATCTGCCCCAGTCCCATTTACAACCTGAGTAATTCCTGGTATCCAACCAGCTTGCCCATTCTTTTTTAATTTACACCAGATTCAAACTGGTGCCCAAATATGATGTGGGGAACACACAGCAGCCTGGGTCTGCCTATGTAAAAGCATTTGCACTGAGCAGGTAATCCAGAGGGAGGAATCTTGCCAGGCATGTTCTTAGCCTAACAGTGCTAACAGCAGTAACTGTTATATCTGCCTTTACTGGGCAGGCAGGAGGAGTTCTGACTTCCCTGTGTTGCTCTTTCCAGCTTACTTGGGATTTCTATGGATGCTGTTGTTGGTTGCCTATGGACAGCGGGATCCCAATTCCTACTACTTGAACAAGCACATTGAGAACAGCTTTACAGATGGGTTTCGGGATGTCTACAGCTACCAGGACTTCTTCACATGGGCAAGAACTACCTTAGTCAACAATTTGTATGGCTCATATCAAGGTACAAAGATCTGATTTCATTGCACATTGTTTTGAGTTAGCATTCCTGGCTCTAATTTGCAAAGATTCTCTCTACAGATTTCCATGTATATTGAGCTGATGGGGTGCATACATTTGGGGTGACTTTAGATATCCCCATCCTAATGGTTTATATAAACTGATGTCATCCTTAGAGCAAGAATCATCCATAGCTCATGTCTCAGGTTCAGTCTTGCTCCTTTTGAACCCAGTGAAAGAATCTGCATTGACCTCAGTGGCTGACTGGTATCTAAATATATAAATGGGTATAATTGTAGCAATACATACCAAGCAGTAATACAACATTGGCTGAATTAATCTCTGATATTTCTCCACTGAAGACAGTGGACTGACCCCAGGTTAAATTTGGCTTGATATATTAACTACCTTCTTAAATGTAGTGCCCAAGTTCAGCAACTTATTTTAACACCACATCATTGGTATCCAGTTCTGTACTAGGATACATCCCTGGTAGTTCTGACATGAGCACCATCTCTCATCAGAACAGGGCAGGCTAGCCAGGTGGCACCAGGAGTTAGTGTTACTAACCAGCTCTGCCTCTAGGTGATCTGAGCTCACACCTTGGCCTAGACATGGAAAGTGAGCTTTGCAGCATCCCCTTGTTCTCCCTCTGGGCATATGCCCAAAACACATTTGGACAATTTTCCAGCATATGCTCAGGAATGTCTCTGGGATGTTGAAGCTCACAGTCAGAATTGTCTTACTGTGACCCGGTGGATGGAATACAGGAGTGGAACTCATAAGACCTGTAGTAAACATTTGGTGAATTGGTTATATCATTAACACCAATTCTTTATTTACTATACTTAGGGTTCATTACGGATGGCAACTCCAAGTTGGTGGGTAGTGCCCGAATCCGACAAGTTAGAGTGAAGGGGGACACCTGTCCCATTGCTCCCAAGCTGCAGCATTCAGTCCAAGAATGCCATGCTCCCTACTCTCTCCAGACAGAAGACACATCAGACTATGGAGAACGCTGGAACATCTCAGCCTTTGATAACTCCTCTGACTTCAGCTCTGCATGGCAGTATCAGAGCCAGTCCAAACTGAGAGGCCATCCCATCTGGGGCAAGGTTGCCAGCTACAGGGGAGGTGGATATGTGGTTCACTTGGGCACCGACCTTAAGAATGCAACCAGGTAGCTCTTTTATTGTGCTTGAGTTTCAGCTTTATTCACCTTTGCAATTATTATCTTCTTATTTTATATTACCGTTAACCAGAATCCAGTCCAGCCTTATAACCTGATTTTCTAAAATGGAACTAAGTGCCCTCACCTGGATTCCAGAGTTACACAAGCAAGTGTGACAAAATCATAAAAATGAAAAGATGGGAAAGAACTTCCTCCCAGTCAGTACAATGTTATTCCCTCTAGGGCACATTACAGTGTTGTGTTTAGTTTAGTTGTCATTGTTTAAAGCAGTGGGTTTTCTGCCTCTTCCCTTAACATACTGTTCTCCAGTTCAATAGGATGCAATGTTGGGAAATACCCTCCTCATTAAGAACTGTTTTGGTCAAGTCTAAGATTTCATTTCCTTCCTTAGTGTTTACACTTCAGATATTTGTAGGACAGTTGTTGTATCACTTTCCAGCCATTGTTATAGATGGGAGAGGCGTGAGATGTCCACTACTGGCAGTCCTCAACTGTGTCTGTGAACAACAGAGACTGCTTCCAGGAGTGAAGTAAGAGAAAAGGGAGGCTTTAAGAGACCCAAAATCTAGCAGACAAAAAACCTGACTGTAAAAGAGTAGGAAATTATGCCCTGCAGTGACAGAACCGAGGCCAGCTCTGTGCCTATTGATAAATTGTACATTGCTGGAGTTATCTACCTAGGACCTAGGTTTTGTTAAGTGAGGCTGGATAAGCACTTCAGGCAGTATCTTGGCTTCCACAGGCAAACAGGCTTCAGAGGCCACAAAAAGCACCTCATTTTGCCCTTGCCAAATTGTATGGTGTAGTCTAGAGACTAACACATATGCTTCCCTTTCTCACCTCCTGGATCTATGAATCAAGCATCCCTTGAAAGTCCCCATCTCTTGTCTGTGTTTTCTGCACGTGGCTTCCAAACGCTCCTACCATATTTGTAGTGCACGCATCTCATCAGCATTAAAAGATATTAGCCCACTGACCACCCCTCCTTCTCTTGTGCTCTCTTTGGCAGAATTCTCCAGTACCTCTTCAGCAACATCTGGCTGGATACCTTTACAAGAGCAGTGTTTATTGAATTTACAGTCTACAATGCCAATGTGAACCTGTTCTGCATTATTAGCTTGATGTTTGAAACTAATGCTTTAGGTGAGAGCCCATTCTCAGTCCCAGCACTTTGAGCTCCTGCACAGCAAAAGATGACAAGCAACGTGAGGTTTTCAAAAGAACCCAACAGTAGCTTAACACAGTTCCATTTAAAGTTAATGGGAGGAGAGTTGTAATGCTGAATGATTATAAATACTTTGGGAAATAGGCCTGTATCTGCCTGTACAGCTATACAGCACACTGGCTTCCAAAGTAATACAAACAAAGCATGTTGTGGCAGTTTTCTTCTAAAGAATGTGCTTTGCTGGAATGTAATTGTTCTGAGCTTTACAAAGTAGGAATTAGGCTCTTCTTAATAGTAGCCCCTATGCACAGCTACTTAATTCAGTATTGAACAGAATGGGCACATGATAGAATTTATCTTTTGCACCTTGCAATGCTGATTCTGGAAGATTAATAGCACACGACATGCAGTCCTCATAAATGAGAGTCAAAAAGGCTCTAGTACACAACACAGCTAAGCAAAAAATTGGGATCCTTGCTTGCATAAAATAGGGAAAGGTTTTCTTTGAATGGTGTCTAACATCACTTCAATCCCATTACTATAGCCTGCTAAAAGTGGGCTAAACCAGAAACTCATAACTGATTTCAGGGTGAGATTCTGAAATGAATCCCCCAGTCTTCTCCTGCTCTAAAGCTAAGTATAGACAGTCAAAAAGCCTGAGGCTGAACTGATTCAGTCTTCCCAGTTTAGTCTAAGCTGCATAGATTGAACCAGTAAGCAAGTGAACAGACATTTATTTTTTATTCTGGAAAGGCAGCCACCTGCATGCAGTAGCTCAGGCTAGAAGCCAGAGGGTGCTAAGGCACACCTCCCTGCTGGGCTGGAGCAGACCGCTTGAGCCAAGGCCAGACTGCCCACCCTGTGAGGTAGGTGGGGAGGGTTTGCCGGGAGGTACAAAGCATCCTGGGATTCTGGGGGACTGTGAGTTAACTTGAATCTGGAGGAGATCTGGGACCGAAATTCAGTAAACTGATTCAACTTAAATCAGTTAAGTCTGATGCTACATCCATTCAAGTTTGTCTTAAACTGGTTTTAGCCATTTTGAAAGCAGTTTATGTGCACTGAACATCTGTTGTGTTACAGATCTGAACTGTTTTCTGATCATTTATCCTGGTTTATGTGTAACTTCTGTCCCTAGCCTAGGAGCTTGAATTTTAGTTCAGTTTAGACATGGAGCTGCTGAAATTATACTATCCAAAGATGGTGATAATCTCAGTATAGGAGCTGACTGTGAAAGATTCCTGCCCTTCAGAGGATCATCTCAATCAAATCCAAACCTAGTCTGGATTTAGCTTTATACCAAATGTAATTGTGGTCTGGATATGAACATTTTGTCCCATCCCTGAATACTCTCACATATGATACTGGGAAAGTCAGTTTCTGATGAGAAGCAGAAAAGAAATGCTCCAAAGAGCATGAGACTGAATACAGCTTTGTTTTCCAGGGGCATTCTTCACACATGCAGAGCTGCAAAGCATCCGGCTGTATCCATACACAGATAGCCTACACATATTTGTTGTTGCAGCAGAAGTTATTTATTTCCTATTTGTTGTCTACTACATGGTAACACAGGTAAGACCCAGCAAGTCTCTTGTGCCCCAATTCTGATTTCACTACAAAGGTTTTAAGCCAGTGCAAGTCAAGTGACTTCAGGTGTGTTGCTCCTGACTCATGTCAGTATGAGGGCTAAATCAGAGGCTATTTCTTTATTAAATAAAAGACTGGAGAACCTGCTGTGAAGAAGGTAACTACAAAATAGTTGCCTCTTGCAGAGAAGCAATTCTCAATCCCAAATGAGGGGGTGAACTCTATACGGCTTCAGGAGAAGTGGGTAAGCTAAGGCAACACACCTTTTCAGAAAGGAAGGGAATAGTCTTTATTGAAAGAATGGTGCAGTGGTACATTTGTTTGCCCTTATCACTTTACATGGTCACACACTGATTCTTGCCAAAGACCATTACAACTGAAACTTCTTCTTTCACAGGGAAAGCTCATGAGGGCTCTGAAATGGAGGTATTTCTACAGCAAGTGGAACCTGCTAGAGCTGGCCATTATATTGATTAGTTGGAGTGCTCTATCAGTGTTTGTGAACCGGACAATCCTGGGGGCACGAGACATCAGCTACTATCAGGAGCACAAGGATGAGTAAATGTTTCATGACCCTGACTTACTTTGCTTTAGCCAGTCTCTCTTTTTTCCCCTTCAGTGCCACCACTGCCAAAGACAGGCACTCCCCAGGAATAGCAGCATTTTAGCTTGTGAATTGAGTAAGGATTTAGGTACATGTCAGCAATTAAATCTACCCTGATGAGGAAACCCCAGGGGGTAGCACACATCACCTCCCTCAACCTAGGAGATACCATCTCCTCCAAACTGGACTGCTTGCTGGTGCACATGCTATCTGTATCCCACTGCAGAGTAAATGCTTCTCTTACAGAGGACAGTTGTTTCAGAGTCCATGAAAATACTATACAGTGCTCTTTCTAGACAAGAAAGAGACAAGGAGCACATAAGAATCTAAGCAGAGTGGAAAAGGATCTTGTAGGCCTACACAAGTTTTAAGCACCTTTCTGGCAGGGTCTGTCACATATCAAAGCCATAAGCATAAATAAGATACTACCTTATGAAGGGCCAAAAACAAAATAGCAATATTGAGATATGTGACATATTTCATGTCAGCCAGGAATAAACATAACCCCTTTCTACCACAGCACGCAGCCTAGGAATCGCTCCCTTTCTTATCACTGACTTAGCACCCAACTCCCCTGCAGCATGTTCTTCTTATGGAAGCTGCAGGGAATTAGTGAATTTTGCACAGCTGGCCTGGCTCTAATTCCCTACCCACCTGA